AAGCTGTGAGCGAGTGAGAGTGATGGGTAAAATTTAAATTTTGTGTGTGTAATTGTATGAACATTCTCAAAATTCATTTTGACATAATGTCAATTATGTTTTTGTATTTTATGAAAATTCAGTGTAAATATTTGATCCTAAAGTTATCTAAAATTATCTTTTATGCATTAAGAATTAATTCTGCCTATATTTAGATAGTTAGTATTTTTAACGTGATTCTGAAATATTTAACTAAAACTGCACATGCACTCTATCTGAGATGCCAAGTGACAGCAGCACTTCAGTGATGCACTTTATTAAGCTGGTTTATAATGGTTTGTGTAAATTGAGTTAGAATGAAAAAGTTATTTTGTTGAGATTATTTCATAATGAATGGACAAAGAAAAACACTTTAGGATAGCTGCATTTGAACGATGCTGGTTGTTAAAATGGCTATATCGTTGTTTGTTTGTTTCGTTTGGTATAAATTGGGGTCACCAACCGCACCTTATTTTGTAATGATTTCATCAATCCATTGATTTGGCGTTCTGTTAACTGAATATTAGAACCGTGTAAAAGGTTAATTTTAGGTCGGGGTGAAAGACGTTAGCTATTTGTTTTCCTTTAGTTTTTGAAGATTTTTTTCATACAGAACTGATCACTGAATGGAAGAACTTGATAGCATATTGAGCTGTGACTACTTTGTAGTGTATTTGTATGAGAGAGACACTAATAATATCTTTCAGGAGAACACATTTTATGTATACTCAGTCTTTGGCATTGATGGGTGGATCATTTGATTTGTTTTGATGGGTTTATTTTTGCTCTTGTTTTCATTCTGATTATGTATCAAGATAAAGACAGTTTTTGGGAATTGCTATTTGGTAAATGTGATGAAAGAGGCAACAGTCATGCAGGAGAATATATGTATCATCTGATGCTAGGTGAAGACTTATTAAGTGGCATGCAATTCTGTGTATTATCTTATTTTCATCTTACTGATACTTCAGAATAAAAAAGTTTTATTTGTTGAAAATTAGTCCGTAGACAACTAGTATCTAAAGTCTGTCAAGCCCATTTCTGAGTGTTTGTTGCAAATCTTCTCTCCTTTTTGCTCTCTTCTTTGCATGTTATCTTGACGAATTTAAGAAAATTATTGTGGACATGGATTCTTGTAACAGGGTGTCATGGAATGTGGTTCGCCCTGGCGTTTATGCCGATCCTCCGAATGATTGTCAACAAGAGATCTTGAATACTTGTGAGGCGTGCTTGCTGCTGTAAATGTCTTTGTTTTTCATAGATTTAGGCTCCCTTGTGATACGGTGAAAAAAAAGTAGTGAATGGGGGCGATTAAATGAGACTAAAGCTAGTTGCAATTTTAGTTCTTTTATCACATTTAACCTTCTATTACACAATAATGTTTGTATAATGGTATATGTTCCATATGAGAGGAGTGTGCAAACCTTGTCTGTGATACTCTTTATCCTAAATGAATGACTTTGCATATCGTGCGCAACAAATTTCTTATTGTTGAAGATACCATGCCTCTGCAAGACTAGGTTTGGTGGGTTAAAGTTACTATTGACACAATATTCTACTATTTTATTTTGGTCCAAACTAGCTACCATAGGNAAAACAAATAAAACATAAAATAACTCAAAACAACACAATCTAATTAAAATATAATTAATTAATTAATTAAAATAAATATATACAGAGAAAGAAAGCAAAGAAGAAAGGACATAATAGGATCCTAAAGAGAAAGAGTTTCCAAGAAAGAGAAAACTGTTAAAAATATATAGTCAAAAGATTATTTTTGTTTTATTAAAAGTTAATAACATTTTAATTGATTTTAATTGGAGACATAATTATGATTTTTGAAAAATTTGGAGGTGCATGATGAAGGGAATTGTGGTGGTGGAGGGAGTAACACTCCCTTGTTTTTATAGAGAAGGCCCACAAAAAGGGAACATTCATAACCCAACTACCCCTCAAAGCCCAGAGCCCAAAACAAACAATAATCCGACATCTTGCGTTGCGTTGCGTCGTGTTGGAATTGAAACTTGAGAGAAGCATGAAGTTCACAGACTCGCCAGTGATCGAGCTTCCGGTGAACGACGCCGTTCTGTCGCTGCAGCAAGACAACGGTTCCATGCACGTGGGAACCTCCGTGTGGCCGTGCTCCCTTGTCCTCGTAAAATTCATGGAGCGCTGGGCCTCACCCTCCGACAACAACCCGTACGCCCGCGTGCTGGACTTCGGAGGCAAACGGGCTGTGGAGCTGGGCACGGGCTGCGGCGTGGCAGGGATGGGCTTGTTCTTATTGGGCCTGACGGACCTGGTCCTCACGGATATCGCGCCGGTGATGCCGGCCCTGAAGCGCAACCTGAAGGTGAACAAGCCCGTCCTCCGCAAGACCCTGAAACACTCCATTCTTTACTGGAACAATGCGCAGCAGATCGCGGCCCTCAACCCTCCCTTCGACTTCGTCGTCGCGACCGACGTTGTTTACATTCGCGAGTCCGTGCCGTCTTTGGTTTCCGCCATGGAAACCCTAGTCTCCGACGACGGCGTCGTTTTGCTCGGCTACCAGCTTAGGGCACCCGAAGCACACGAGCTTTTCTGGGAACTTTGCGACAAAGCCTTCCACATCGAGAAAGTCCCACACGAGCATCTGCATCCTGATTATGCTTACGAGGAGACCGAAGTTTTTCTGTTGAGGAAGAAAAACGAGAAGCTGTGAACGAGTGAGAGTGATGGGTAAAATTTAAATTTTGTGTGTGTAATTGTATGAACATTCTCAAAATTCATTTTGACATAATGTCAATTATGATTTTGTATTTTATGAAAATTCAGTGTAAATATTTGATCCTAAAGTTATCTAAAATTATCTTTTATGCATTAAGAATTAATTCTGCCTATATTTAGATAGTTAGTATTTTTAACGTGATTCTGAAATATTTAACTAAAACTGCACATGCACTCTATCTGAGATGCCAAGTGACAGCAGCACTTCAGTGATGCACTTTATTAAGCTGGTTTATAATGGTTTGTGTAAATTGAGTTAGAATGAAAAAGTTATTTTGTTGAGATTATTTCATAATGAATGGACAAAGAAAAACACTTTAGGATAGCTGCATTTGAACGATGCTGGTTGTTAAAATGGCTATATCGTTGTTTGTTTGTTTCGTTTGGTATAAATTGGGGTCACCAACCGCACCTTATTTTGTAATGATTTCATCAATCCATTGATTTGGCGTTCTGTTAACTGAATATTAGAACCGTGTAAAAGGTTAATTTTGGGTCGGGGTGAAAGACGTTAGCTATTTGTTTTCCTTTAGTTTTTGAAGATTTTTTTCATACAGAACTGATCACTGAATGGAAGAACTTGATAGCATGTTGAGCTGTGACTACTTTGTAGTGTATTTGTATGAGAGAGACACTAATAATATCTTTCAGGAGAACACATTTTATGTATACTCAGTCTTTGGCATTGATGGGTGGATCATTTGATTTGTTTTGATGGGTTTATTTTTGCTCTTGTTTTCATTCTGATTATGTATCAAGATAAAGACAGTTTTTGGGAATTGCTATTTGGTAAATGTGATGAAAGAGGCAACAGTCATGCAGGAGAATATATGTATCATCTGATGCTAGGTGAAGACTTATTAAGTGGCATGCAATTCTGTGTATTTTCTTATTTTCATCTTACTGATACTTCAGAATAAAAAAGTTTTATTTGTTGAAAATTAGTCCGTAGACAACTAGTATCTAAAGTCTGTCAAGCCCATTTCTGAGTGTTTGTTGCAAATCTTCTCTCCTTTTTGCTCTCTTCTTTGCATGTTATCTTGACGAATTTAAGAAAATTATTGTGGACATGGATTCTTGTAACAGGGTGTCATGGAATGTGGTTCGCCCTGGCGTTTATGCCGATCCTCCGAATGATTGTCAACAAGAGATCTTGAATACTTGTGAGGCGTGCTTGCTGCTGTAAATGTCTTTGTTTTTCATAGATTTAGGCTCCCTTGTGATACGGTGAAAAAAAAGTAGTGAATGGGGGCGATTAAATGAGACTAAAGCTAGTTGCAATTTTAGTTCTTTTATCACATTTAACCTTCTATTACACGGTATTGTTTGTATAATGGTATATGTTCCATATGTGAGGAGTGTGCAAACCTTGTCTGTGATACTCTTTATCCTAAATGAATGACTTTGCATATCGTGCGCAACAAATTTCTTATTGTTGAAGATACCATGCCTCTGCAAGACTAGGTTTGGTGGGTTAAAGTTACTATTGACACAATATTCTACTATTTTATTTTGGTCCAAACTAGCTACCATAGGAACACATCTCAAGAACATGACGGATGGCCTGTCGCCGACTAAAAAGCAAGACCAAAAAGACACGCAGATGAAGCGAAACTGACTATTCATGTGTGTACTTTGCTCTTTCTGCACAGAAAGATGATTTTGATTTCAAGCATCATCGAATATAATAATACTTAATCGACTCACACAGTTGTTCTGCCTACCGTGGAGTCATTTTCATTAGGCATTGTCTCTTTTCAACACTCAATTGGTTCTTCAAGTTGTTGACCTTCTTATGTTTGCACTTCGCGATTTGGTAAAATAATATTGAAGGGCTCTACAGTGAGATTAGAGAAACTTATTTGCATTTTTCGTAGTAATGCTATTATTTTGACAACTGGTTATATTTTTTAAAAGAGCTCCAATGAATGGTCTAAGAATAGCACGTCATATCACAGCATTGATGGATGCTTAAATGTGCTGTGATGCCTAACATCCTAAAATGACATTTTCTGTGGATTTAGCTATATTATTCATATTTTTCTTTTATACAATGCTGTTTAATTTTGCCTTCTCTCTTTATTTATTTTCACTGTCACTTGTTGCATATCTGTCTTCTCTTCTCACCACTGTTGTCATAAAAGTAACATGTACACGCAATAAGAGTATAATTTCCCGAATCGTATACATACATAAAACAAAACTCAGTAAAAGAACCCACCAGACGGAATATGTAGTTCAAAGTAAAGGTCATGTTTGTACAGATTGATGGTTAGTATTTACCCAAGTATAGGACAATTCAGATATTTTTTCGTGTCACTGCACAAAGCATGATAGCAGCTAACCTTCAAAAATTGTAAAAGAATAAAAGAAAGTAAACAAAGTTACAGCCAAATAGTTTTGGCTTTTTGTTTACTTTGGTCTCCACACCCGCTTTTTTCTTCCTCAATTGAAGTATCTGATCACTAGCTTTCAGATGAAGCAGTTTCTCCTTATTCCGTCCCCTCTTTTCCCCTCCTAACTGTACTTATATAGTTGGTTATTAACTTATTTCTTCACTGCAGAATACAATTGTAATGTTTCTTCTCCTTCCATGAATAGCATCTCACTTTTCTCCCTCTTCCACCACTTCTTTCAAGGAATGAAAGTAGCACCATCATGAACAGGGAAATGGGTGACTAGTTGTGCACTGCTAGGCCTATGCTGGTCCCCTTGATCAAAGGATACAAAAGAATTATTGTAGAATTCAACAAACCCAGTGCTTTTATGATTAGTTACCTCATGCACACTTTCACCGTTTAGTTTAGCAGGATATGAGTCTTTCATGAGTGAACCACATTGTCTAGGCTGTGTCTGATAGAAAACTTTGGAGACCACCAATTCTCCTTCCTTCTCCTCTTCATTATTGCCAAGGTGGTACTGGTGCATCACCCAGTTTGTCTTCTCAGGCTTCCTTTGTTTTCTGTAATTGGTGTAAAGCACAAGAATTTTCTTGTACCCTTTTAACTTCCCACTGATGTATACTGGCCTAGTCTTACCTGTTTTGTGCCACCGTGTCTCACTGCCATCAGCATCTGTGTGCACCTTTCTCCTTTTCCTTGTTCCTGTCGTGTATGCTTTCGAAGGCCTGTGAAAGAAATGTCGGATCAACCCATCTTTGCTAACTCCTGCAGTATAGTTCATTAAAGCATTAAGATGTTAGTTTACATCAAAGTTTATCAGAAAATTTGAGTTCTTAATATAAAGAGCTTTCTTGTGCCAGATCATGAAGAGAAACAGTTGTAAACTCAAAGTTTGGTTGCACCCGATTTTTACACAATAAAATAAAAGTTTGTTATAAAATGGATGACATGATGTTGTCAATGGTCACATCTTCTGCACAAAAGTGTGAATTCGGCAAAGTTCATGCTTTCTCAGTTTGAAGTTGCGGAAGTTTAAAGGAAACAAACATGTCTGACCATGTATCTTAAGGAACTATATGCATATATTATGTCTGAAAAACAATATTTTAATAACGATGATTCAATGAGATTCCTCATTAGAAATGTTGAATGAGTGAGAGAAAAATGGAAATCAATTAATTACCTGGTAACTTCTCTGGATGGGTACAGCAGATTCCATTCTCCCCTTCAAGAGTAGGGATGAACTCATCAATTAACGGATGAAGCTTGTGAATATCAGAACGCACCTTAGCTTCCAAATGCTCAAGAATCTCTTGATCAGTAGGATCAAACTTTACTCCAGCTGGAAGTCCAGGTAAGTCATGAATTCCAGCAGCCTAAACATCAACACCAAACATTTATATTTATTCTTGAAACGAAAGGCCCAATAAAACAGTAATAAAGACAATGCATATATTAATGCTGATTAGAAAACAATACAAAAGTGTCCATGAAATTGCATCAGAAATAAACACCTTGGATCATTAAATTCAAACTCAAGCAGAAAACAAACAAAAGGATGATGATGATGATGAAGCTCCCTTGTGATACGGTGAAAAAAAAGTAGTGAATGGGGGCGATTAAATGAGACTAAAGCTAGTTGCAATTTTAGTTCTTTTATCACATTTAACCTTCTATTACACGGTATTGTTTGTATAATGGTATATGTTCCATATGTGAGGAGTGGTGCAAACCTGTCTGTGATACTCTTTATCCTAAATGAATGACTTTGGCATATCGTGCGCAACAATTTTCTTATTGTTGAAGATACCATGCCTCTGCAAGACTAGGTTTGGTGGGTTTAAATATTTACAAACTAAATTATTTAATTCAAAATAGATATGATTAATTTAAATATTTATATAAATAAATAATTAATAAAAATAAAATAAATTAATTAAAATAAAAAAGAAAAACTTATAAAACAAATAAAACATAAAATAACTCAAAACAACACAATCTAATTAAAATATAATTAATTAATTAATTAAAATAAATATATACAGAGAAAGAAAGCAAAGAAGAAAGGACATAATAGGATCCTAAAGAGAAAGAGTTTCCAAGAAAGAGAAAACTGTTAAAAATATATAGTCAAAAGATTATTTTTGTTTTATTAAAAGTTAATAACATTTTAATTGATTTTAATTGGAGACATAATTATGATTTTTGAAAAATTTGGAGGTGCATGATGAAGGGAATTGTGGTGGTGGAGGGAGTAACACTCCCTTGTTTTTATAGAGCAGGCCCACAAAAAGGGAACATTCATAACCCAACTACCCCTCAAAGCCCAGAGCCCAAAACAAACAATAATCCGACATCTTGCGTTGCGTTGCGTCGTGTTGGAATTGAAACTTGAGAGAAGCATGAAGTTCACAGACTCGCCAGTGATCGAGCTTCCGGTGAACGACGCCGTTCTGTCGCTGCAGCAAGACAACGGTTCCATGCACGTGGGAACCTCCGTGTGGCCGTGCTCCCTTGTCCTCGTAAAATTCATGGAGCGCTGGGCCTCACCCTCCGACAACAACCCGTACGCCCGCGTGCTGGACTTCGGAGGCAAACGGGCTGTGGAGCTGGGCACGGGCTGCGGCGTGGCAGGGATGGGCTTGTTCTTATTGGGCCTGACGGACCTGGTCCTCACGGATATCGCGCCGGTGATGCCGGCCCTGAAGCGCAACCTGAAGGTGAACAAGCCCGTCCTCCGCAAGACCCTGAAACACTCCATTCTTTACTGGAACAATGCGCAGCAGATCGCGGCCCTCAACCCTCCCTTCGACTTCGTCGTCGCGACCGACGTTGTTTACATTCGCGAGTCCGTGCCGTCTTTGGTTTCCGCCATGGAAACCCTAGTCTCCGACGACGGCGTCGTTTTGCTCGGCTACCAGCTTAGGGCACCCGAAGCACACGAGCTTTTCTGGGAACTTTGCGACAAAGCCTTCCACATCGAGAAAGTCCCACACGAGCATCTGCATCCTGATTATGCTTACGAGGAGACCGATGTTTTTCTGTTGAGGAAGAAAAACGAGAAGCTGTGAGCGAGTGAGAGTGATGGGTAAAATTTAAATTTTGTGTGTGTAATTGTATGAACATTCTCAAAATTCATTTTGACATAATGTCAATTATGTTTTTGTATTTTATGAAAATTCAGTGTAAATATTTGATCCTAAAGTTATCTAAAATTATCTTTTATGCATTAAGAATTAATTCTGCCTATATTTAGATAGTTAGTATTTTTAACGTGATTCTGAAATATTTAACTAAAACTGCACATGCACTCTATCTGAGATGCCAAGTGACAGCAGCACTTCAGTGATGCACTTTATTAAGCTGGTTTATAATGGTTTGTGTAAATTGAGTTAGAATGAAAAAGTTATTTTGTTGAGATTATTTCATAATGAATGGACAAAGAAAAACACTTTAGGATAGCTGCATTTGAACGATGCTGGTTGTTAAAATGGCTATATCGTTGTTTGTTTGTTTCGTTTGGTATAAATTGGGGTCACCAACCGCACCTTATTTTGTAATGATTTCATCAATCCATTGATTTGGCGTTCTGTTAACTGAATATTAGAACCGTGTAAAAGGTTAATTTTGGGTCGGGGTGAAAGACGTTAGCTATTTGTTTTCCTTTAGTTTTTGAAGATTTTTTTCATACAGAACTGATCACTGAATGGAAGAACTTGATAGCATGTTGAGCTGTGACTACTTTGTAGTGTATTTGTATGAGAGAGACACTAATAATATCTTTCAGGAGAACACATTTTATGTATACTCAGTCTTTGGCATTGATGGGTGGATCATTTGATTTGTTTTGATGGGTTTATTTTTGCTCTTGTTTTCATTCTGATTATGTATCAAGATAAAGACAGTTTTTGGGAATTGCTATTTGGTAAATGTGATGAAAGAGGCAACAGTCATGCAGGAGAATATATGTATCATCTGATGCTAGGTGAAGACTTATTAAGTGGCATGCAATTCTGTGTATTTTCTTATTTTCATCTTACTGATACTTCAGAATAAAAAAGTTTTATTTGTTGAAAATTAGTCCGTAGACAACTAGTATCTAAAGTCTGTCAAGCCCATTTCTGAGTGTTTGTTGCAAATCTTCTCTCCTTTTTGCTCTCTTCTTTGCATGTTATCTTGACGAATTTAAGAAAATTATTGTGGACATGGATTCTTGTAACAGGGTGTCATGGAATGTGGTTCGCCCTGGCGTTTATGCCGATCCTCCGAATGATTGTCAACAAGAGATCTTGAATACTTGGCGTGCTTGCTGCTGTAAATGTCTTTGTTTTTCATAGATTTAGGCTCCCTTGTGATACGGTGAAAAAAAAGTAGTGAATGGGGGCGATTAAATGAGACTAAAGCTAGTTGCAATTTTAGTTCTTTTATCACATTTAACCTTCTTTTACACATTAGTGTTTGTATAATGGTATATGTTCCATATGCGAGGAGTGTGCAAACCTTGTCTGTGATACTCTTTATCCTAAATGAATGACTTTGCATATCGTGCGCAACAAATTTCTTATTGTTGAAGATACCATGCCTCTGCAAGACTAGGTTTGGTGGGTTAAAGTTACTATTGACACAATATTCTACTATTTTATTTTGGTCCAAACTAGCTACCATAGGAACACATCTCAAGAACATGACGGATGGCCTGTCGCCGACTAAAAAGCAAGACCAAAAAGACACGCAGATGAAGCGAAACTGACTATTCATGTGTGTACTTTGCTCTTTCTGCACAGAAAGATGATTTTGATTTCAAGCATCATCGAATATAATAATACTTAATCGACTCACACAGTTGTTCTGCCTACCGTGGAGTCATTTTCATTAGGCATTGTCTCTTTTCAACACTCAATTGGTTCTTCAAGTTGTTGACCTTCTTATGTTTGCACTTCGCGATTTGGTAAAATAATATTGAAGGGCTCTACAGTGAGATTAGAGAAACTTATTTGCATTTTTCGTAGTAATGCTATTATTTTGACAACTGGTTATATTTTTTAAAAGAGCTCCAATGAATGGTCTAAGAATAGCACGTCATATCACAGCATTGATGGATGCTTAAATGTGCTGTGATGCCTAACATCCTAAAATGACATTTTCTGTGGATTTAGCTATATTATTCATATTTTTCTTTTATACAATGCTGTTTAATTTTGCCTTCTCTCTTTATTTATTTTCACTGTCACTTGTTGCATATCTGTCTTCTCTTCTCACCACTGTTGTCATAAAAGTAACATGTACACGCAATAAGAGTATAATTTCCCGAATCGTATACATACATAAAACAAAACTCAGTAAAAGAACCCACCAGACGGAATATGTAGTTCAAAGTAAAGGTCATGTTTGTACAGATTGATGGTTAGTATTTACCCAAGTATAGGACAATTCAGATATTTTTTCGTGTCACTGCACAAAGCATGATAGCAGCTAACCTTCAAAAATTGTAAAAGAATAAAAGAAAGTAAACAAAGTTACAGCCAAATAGTTTTGGCTTTTTGTTTACTTTGGTCTCCACACCCGCTTTTTTCTTCCTCAATTGAAGTATCTGATCACTAGCTTTCAGATGAAGCAGTTTCTCCTTATTCCGTCCCCTCTTTTCCCCTCCTAACTGTACTTATATAGTTGGTTATTAACTTATTTCTTCACTGCAGAATACAATTGTAATGTTTCTTCTCCTTCCATGAATAGCATCTCACTTTTCTCCCTCTTCCACCACTTCTTTCAAGGAATGAAAGTAGCACCATCATGAACAGGGAAATGGGTGACTAGTTGTGCACTGCTAGGCCTATGCAGGTCCCCTTGATCAAAGGATACAAAAGAATTATTGTAGAATTCAACAAACCCAGTGCTTTTATGATTAGTTACCTCATGCACACTTTCACCATTTAGTTTAGCAGGATATGAGTCTTTCATGAGTGAACCACATTGTCTAGGCTGTGTCTGATAGAAAACTTTGGAGACCACCAAATCTCCTTCCTTCTCCTCTTCATTATTGCCAAGGTGGTACTGATGCATCACCCAGTTTGTCTTCTCAGGCTTCCTTTGTTTTCTGTAATTGGTGTAAAGCACAAGAATTTTCTTGTACCCTTTTAACTTCCCACTGATGTATACTGGCCTAGTCTTACCTGTTTTGTGCCACCGTGTCTCACTGCCATCAGCATCTGTGTGCACCTTTCTCCTTTTCCTTGTTCCTGTCGTGTATGCTTTCGAAGGCCTGTGAAAGAAATGTCGGATCAACCCATCTTTGCTAACTCCTGCAGTATAGTTCATTAAAGCATTAAGATGTTAGTTTACATCAAAGTTTATCAGAAAATTTGAGTTCTTAATATAAAGAGCTTTCTTGTGCCAGATCATGAAGAGAAACAGTTGTAAACTCAAAGTTTGGTTGCACCCGATTTTTACACAATAAAATAAAAGTTTGTTATAAAATGGATGACATGATGTTG